GTCTGTGGGGGCGGAGGCCAAATGATTATATGCAAAGCTTGCGCCTCAATTGCCACCTGAGCGGAGAGCATAATGAGGCATCAGCATCAGCATCAGCGTCAGCTATGCGGTCGAGTGTTTCAAGTGCTCTTCCTCTTGCTCTTCCACGAGTGGGCGGCTGAAGCGCAAAATGTAATTACAGAAAAACATGATAATAAACTAAAGAATTCTGTCCAGTCTCAGCTAATAAATACCATGTAATCAGTTTTAACTTAACTAAAAAACTTAGATTAAGAGCTTATAATATTATCAGCAAGATTATGGCTGGGATCTAAATGAATGGTAACAAATAACTTTGAAAGGTTCTGCTACTAGTCTCTAGTTTATAGACTGATATTATTTTTATATCTCATATGAACCGAGATTCAAATCAAACTAGTTCCCACAAAAAAGCCGAATTAAGATCGGAGCTGAACATTATATTCTTGGAAAACTTTTTGGCTTTATAGCTCATTTAAGGTAGGCAATATTACTGTGGCTCCAATTGTTGCATTTATCTAATATTTAAATCTTGCTAGCTCTTGATTTTAAGTAGATTCTAAATTGAAAAATATATTATTGCATGAATACAAAAAATCGAACCTAAGGGTTCGCACGTTGATCCCAACCGTCGACAATTGTTTTCTCCGTTTTTTGTATCTCTGTGTGCACACTATCTCTACAGAGAGCATCAACTACAGGGTACAATATAAAAATAAACAATAAATTATGGACCGAATTTAGCACTGCGCTTGTAAATTGTTTAAATTTGTGTTTACTTTACGGTTTATATATCTGGCGTTTCTTTTTCTCTTGTGCGCAATTAATGTGCAGCTGATGACGTCGGAAATACAAATAGGAAAATAGATATATGTACAGATAGATACACACCTATTTGGCTGTACATATGGATATGTCGTGGGTATCTAAGGTAGAAAGTGAAAATGGGTAACTAATAAATCGAATGTGTACTTTAATTTGTCGCTAATTTGGTCTACCAAGTGAAATTGTGGGCTGGTAAATATTCAATAAGGCCAGCTCCAAAGTAATTAGAGAAGCTAAAAAAAACATTTTACGATTGTGCAATAAATTCGAATGCCAAACAGCGGGGAAAGGGGGAAGGGGGATGGGGTTCACTTCATTTAACTGCTGTGAGAAATACTCGAAATGCGAAATGCAACTACGGAAATTGAATTGTCACATGTTGGTTGGCTTCACCATTTCTAGAGAGGCTTAGACATGGACAAAGGGTTCCACATGCGAGCATTATATTTTATAATACGCAAACACTCGTGTTGAGCACGCACATTAAAGCAATTACTTATATTTTGACTGACTGACTGACAGACAGACTGACTGACTGACTGACTGACTAACTGACTGACCAGCTGGCTGAATGGCTAACTGGTTAACTGACTGACTGACTGCCCCTCGCCGGAAGTGCGACGGCGCGACGCGACGCGACGCTTTTTTTCGCATTGGCCGCACATCATTTAATATTTTCGTGGAACTGGTTAAGCGGGGGCAACAGGAACTGGCAACTGGCAATGTGAATGGGAATGGGCATGGAAATGGGCATGGGTCTGGGGATTAGGCAGCCAGTCTCTAATGACTGCTCATTTTGTCATTATTGTGATTATCGCTGCCGCCTGTCGCTTTCATTCTAAAACTGACATTCAACATTTAAGTGTTCCGTTTATTCATATGCATATGAGGCTGCATTGTCAATTATATGTGGAGCAGCATTTGATATAAGGGATTGCTTTAAATGCGCAGAACGCAAGCTCTGAAAATAAGCCCAAAGCGAAGCTTGAATAGAATAGTTTATATATAGGCCAGAGCATTTGATAACAAACAAAATGATTTATATTATGTATAAGCTGTGCAGTATGAATGAGAATTGGCTGGAATATATTTCATATACCTATCAAAATCATCATCATAGAGAATAGTTGTTATTATTATTAAGACTTATTCAAAATCTGTAGCGGGTTTTGATGTCTTGTGATTCCCTTGACAGAATCTGCATGTGCTGAGTTCAGGTAGGTTCAATTCTGTCAGGTGATATATCCGATTTAGTCTGCTGGCAAAAGTATGCCATTCTCTTGGATGGAGTAACTGCTATTGTTACAATATTTGTTTGAGTCCTTTATTGCTTTCAGCTCTCTATTAGCTGTACTCTATTAAATCAAGCAAAAGGTCTATTACATATGGAGATACATACTCTCTGCCAAGCAGAAATGTCGATTCAATTGTCAGTCTTGGCCTTGTCACACGTTGCATAGGCATTTAATGTAAATATTTCGTAAGTGCTATGATAATTATTACAATAAAATACTCGCTTTGTTTCCGTTTTAGCAACTCCATCATGCCACACGCTTCGCATTCGATTGCCCAAGCAAATGATTTCTTAATGCTCGCTTGCATTTGATGACTCAATTTGCGTTTGAACTCATTGAACTCTTGATATGTATGCATATGCAAATGTATATACACATATACATGGCCATTGTCCACAGTGTTATAAAACAATTGTAACCACAGCGGCATTTCACACATTTTATGTTCTAACTCGTCACACTGTGCGCCAATCGAGTCCAGTGCCAAGGTTTTCTATTCAGCTAATCCTTGTGCAAATATATATAACTTCTTATAACTGACTGATTGAATGACTGACTGATTGATGATCATCGCACAACTCAAAGCAAACGAGCTAGGCATTTGAATTCTTTCATTTCATGTCAAGAATATGGGAATCTGAGCAGTCCTTAAACTTAATCGCTAACACAATACATACAAATACTATATATACATATATATAATGATAATTTTAAGCCGTCATTTATTGGCTATATTGCATTACCCATTACAATTAACCACATTCGAAGGGCAGACTGAAACCGAGTCATGTGTTAATTGCAATTAGTTCATCAGGTTTCAATGGCTTTTCACATCTTTTGGCATACATTTGCAGTAAATGTTATCTGTGCCGCGTTGTCGTTTCATATTCTACACGCTGTTAGATTACTTTTATGATTATTATTGTTAGAGGTGTGCGTTGTTGATGGTTATTGTGTTTGCTGTTGTTGTTGTTGTTGTCGTTGTTGCTGTTATCATTGTTGTTGTTAATATTGTTATTGTCGTTGACATCGCTTTCAATGAGCTTGCCTTTCAGTTAAGGTTGTTGTCATTGTTATTGTTATTGTAGGCCTTTATTGACAGCCGTTGTTGTTGCATTTGTTTATTACGCACAAAAGGCACATTTGTTGAGTTAGTTTGCCTGTTTTCGGCCACAATAGCTGTTTGTCAATCGCATAATATGCACTATGATAGATCCACTTACTAATTGGAAATGGGGTTTTTACAGCCGTGCTGAAAACTTTAAATGCTTTCCCGCCTATCAAGTTGGAATTGAAAATAACAAAAATATATTACAACAAGCAATGGAATTATAATTTTGTCTTGAAGATGCTTCAAGATCAAAACATTATATTGCCATTCCATATAGCCCCAACATTATATGTATATGTCCCCAGGCGTACTTTATCTGCAGCACCGCCAATTTAAACGTTATTCTTCTTTTTTGCTTTTCTTTCTTTTGACTAGCTGCAGTTTTCACTTTATTTATAGCTCAAAAACGTGAAGTTTTTCCATTTTTATTTTGCCTCAGTTTGCACCAGGCCAAAGATTTGTGTGTCAGGAATCACAGAGGGGGATTGTGGGCTTGTATAGACAGCGTACACAACCAGTTTAGTGCCTCCGTAACCAGTCCACCACCCAAGCCACTCACCCACAGTCGGCGGGCGCAAAAAGTCGCGAATGCTTCCACTAAAATTGCAATGAAAATAAATGTGCACCAAAAAAGAATTGAGCGCGTTTCAAGTAGTCCCCAGGGGCGGAAGAGGGGTGTGCTGTGAGCTTTCAAAGGCTTGAAATGGTTACGAGGTCGTCTTTGTTGTGCGTTGGTCACTTTTACCGTTGAGTGACAGTCACACACACACACACGCAGATACACACGCTTCGTACAAAGGAAATGAGCTCATTTGGTGGACATTTTCCAGTTCATTTACGTTGATTAACGCTTTGGACAGAAATTTCATTTGGCTTGGCCGAGAGCCAATTAATAATTCGCACCACGACACCAAAATCGAGCTCGAGTTCGAATTCGAGTTTAGCAAAGGTCAGCGACAACAACGAGAATTACATAAACGCTAGACTTCAAAACAAGACATGACTAATCCCAACAAAGAAAACGTGTGAAGAGAGAACTGCAAGAACATCGCGCCGAATGTTATTGAGTTACTGACGTCACAAGCATAGCAACGATATGAAGAAAGTCGATTTGACGCCGATCAAGCAACACGTGAGTCAGCCAGCAGAAGTGTGGCCAACTCTTGGCAAGCAAAGTAGAGAGAAATAAAGTAGTGACCCAGTCATTTGGGCTGAACAAGGAGGATCCGGCTTCGAAGCCAAGCCTAATATAGAAAGCAGAAACATTTTATGCGAGTGGTTGATAGTTTGTATAACTATAACTACATAAATATTAAAATAACAGGATATTTTCTGAAACAATTTAGTAAACACATTTTCAAAATAAAAATAACTCAAAAACTGACGGGTACACTGGTCAGCTACAAGTAAACAATCGTGTGAGCAAAGAGCAGAGAGTTTGTAGACAGAATAAGAGAGAGAGAGAGAGAGAGCGATCACATAACTGTAGACGCTGCTAGCAAAGGTTAAATGCTCAATTTGTTGCCTGCCCCCCGTTATATTTCGCACATTGTCATTTGATTATTGCGTGCTCGCTTCGACTTATCAGTTGAAGGGGACAACAAGAGCGCAACTAAATATTTATACGGTTCTTGGGCGAAAGAGCGCCAATTAGTTCGTCAATTCTAGTTAATCATTAGCTACTTACTACCCCAACCGGTTCGATATTTTAGCGGGGACTTTACCCTGAAACGGGTTTGTGACGCACTCACCTTATAGATTTGTATCTCCTCTAAAACGACTTCCGATTCCTTGAGCACGCGCTCAACTTCATCGTACACTTCCCGCTCCGTATCCGTGGGCGCGGCGTTCTCAAAGTCTAGGAAAACGTCGTAGGATTTGGCGGCGCAACAATTTGAATCGTCGCGTGACAACAGACTCAGCAGTTTGCCCATTTTCTTAATTAATTTATTACAAATGCGGCTTATTAAATATGATTGACTTTATTTATTATGTTTATATTTGTATTGATTTTTATGTTGTAGCACTTTTGGTTGCGTTTCACTCTTTCGTACACTTCTTCACGCTGCAACAGAAAGGAAAGAGGGGATTCATTACGCATTAAGCTTTAACAGCTGCTGCTGCATTGCTGAAGCGCTGCACCTGTTGTTGGTGCGGCCTGTTAAGGGTTTATAAATTATGGCGGCAACAGCTGCTAGGCTTACATACAGAGAGTGGACAGAGTGAACAGTTTTTTTTTTTTTAACAGAAATATAGATAGGACAGCACAAACAACGGCTCGTAACGTGAATATGTTGAACTCCAGCTAGGCAACAGCGGCGACACTGGCAATGCGGGGGGTGGATATGGACTGAGGCTGTTTGCCATGTGTCTTGCTGTACATGTGTGCGTTTGTGTGTGTGTGTGTGTGCGTGCATGTGTTTGCTCTTTTGAGAGCTGCTTGTGCGCAGGAAATGATGCGAAACTAAAACTTATCGAAATTAGTAAACAACAAGGCGCACACACACACACACACGCGCACGCACACTCGCACATGCAATCACCGCAAGGCCAATGTTCACACCAAGTGGGGAAAAAGGCAATTTTCCTCGTCACGCCAGCCACATGTAAACATTTTAGGCAGCCGCATACACCACCCCTTGTTCCCTCGTTTAAGTTAATAGCGAAAAACGGACGAAACTTTGCGCGAGTTTCTTTTATTAATAATTTGTTGAGCTGTACATATGTATGTGTATTACCGTCGACACTCTGTGGCTTTGTTTATCTGCGTCGCCTTATCTGGCTGTCACTTCTCTTTTAAATACCCTGTCGCAAATGCACAAAGGGGTAGCTGCTACAAAGAGCAGTCGGTAAATTAAGTATATAACAGTGGATTATACGACAGCTAACATCTAGTTACTTTCAATATATGCATATTGATCAATAATTAAATTTAATCAATTAGTTTACAAAGCATACTTTATATTAACTCAAAATACGGGGTATCTTTAAGTCATGCACTTCCAACTGCAGCTGTTGCTATTTTGCGCGCTTATCTGTTTTGTTATATGCACAGTTTTATTATTTGGCTGTTTTAGGGTGGATTCGTGGATTATTCCTGCATTGGAATTTCAGCAAAAACAAGAATTTCGTCGAATACAAAAAAGAGGAAAAACATACAGGCAGGAGCAATTGCGCGCTTATCACCTTTTTTGCAGAACTTTTTCGTGAACTCGCGTATCGTAGGAGCCGCAATTTTTTTAAATTCGTTTAATGGTCGCGTTTCTGCATTTGTGCTTTTAGCATTTCTGGCATTTACACAAGGCTTATGTTTAAAAAAATATAACAAACACACCAAAAACACGCCGCAACACAAACGCAACCACCACTCTCGACGGCAGCTAAAAACGTACTAATTTTGGAGTTCAGAAAACTGGCTGACCATATTGTCGAAATGAGTGTTTGACTTAAAATATGGTATGGTGATCAAACGAGCTGCAAACTTATACCAGTCACTCATATATACATTTTTACAGTCAACTCATATTTAACTACTAATACGTAGCTGTATATTTGGTATTTTTTGACAAATATGGTTAGTTAATTGAATTTTGCGCGCTCCATTTTTGCCGCACAAATTTGAACACTGTCCGAGCCTGCTAATGTTCTGTTATCGGTTCAGTGTTGAAAACTCTGGAAACGAAAATGTGATGCTTGTTTTTAGGTGTGCACACACTGGCACACACTTTTCGTTTCCCATTTTACTGACAAAAAAAAAATCATGAGCGAGGACGGCAAAAAGTCCCAACTAGACGAAGTTCAGCTTATGCTGATCGAACGTTTGTCCAAGAATGACACCAACGGCTTCAAGCAGCTGCTGGGTCAGCTAAAGGGCGGCGTTAACTTTGTGGACGACAGCGGAATGTCAATATTGGCACACGCGAGTTTTAAGGGCAACAAGGAGGCGGTGCAGTTGCTCTTGGACATGGTGAGTATAAACAAATATTGTGTGCGTAATGCAATAACTAAGAGTTAATAACTTACTCAATAGGGGGCTGATATCAATCTAAATCAACACGGCGCCGACTACACACCGTTGCACTTTGCCGCCTTGTCGGGCAACACGTACGTGTGCCGGCAACTCCTGGATGCTGGCATCAATCCGAATAGTATAAACAGCGTCTCTCGCACCGCCTCCCAAATGGCCGCCTTTGTGGGCAATCACGCCTGCGTGGAGACCATCAACAATTACGTGACGCGTTCCAGCTTGGAGTATTACACACAGCTGCATGGCCAGCAGACGGAGCCGCACATTCCGCCCGTGCTGCTCAAGGCGTTTCACACCTTTGTCACCGAAATCAATCTGCATCCCGTCAGAATAACGCTGAATGCACAGTCGCTGGGTCTGCTGCGGATTCTGCCCAATCTGCGCAAGGCTTTGGTGCTGATGTGCGAGAAGGAGATGCAAAAGTCCCACGACGTAAACGAACTGCTCGCATTTAAATTCCATTATTTGGGTTGGATTGTTGGTGAGCTGATGCGTTGCGAGGAGCAGTTCAAGGCACAGCACAAGGAAAAGGCCGAGGACGGCGGGGCCAACAAAAATGACTTTATCGAAGTGTTTGTTAAGCGCGTGCTCAAAGAGAACAAGCTGGGACAGTTGGACTATGTTGAATTTACGGTGCGCGAATGCGCTCGCGAGTTCCCCTTCCGCGAGTGCACGATCTTCCGCCAAATAGCCGCCCAGCTGGGTGCCAAGGACGCGCCGCCAGCTCTGGTCATACTGCGCAATGCCATCAACGGGATGCGCGGTTTTGTGGTGAGCGTTAAATTAATAAATATAAATTGCGATAGTTAAGTATCCTTTTGCATTTGGCAGGACGAGAACAGCTACTGCAGTTCCTGTGGCCAGGAGAAACCCGACAAAAAGTGCTCCAAGTGCAAGGCCGTGCAGTACTGCGATCGCGAGTGCCAGCGTCTGCACTGGTTTATGCACAAAAAGAGTTGTCCACGTCTATTGGCAGCCGTCTTGGCCGGAGCTAAGGAGCAATCGAAAGCGCCGATTGATACCTCCGAGCTGCAAGAGGAGCTAGCCAAATTGTCAGCATAATATCGCCTGCGCAATGATTACCTGCATTTTAAATAAATTAATTAAGGTTTGTTTAAAAGCATTGAAATCCCTGTATTCCTACGATTCTTGTTTCATTATCTTCAAATCAGCTGTTAACGTGCAGTGGCGCCATCTTGTGAGTTATTTATGCACGCAATGTTTAATATCGACGCAATAGCCAAGACTCAAACCTTCACAGGTCTCTGCTAAAATTCAAATTCCGATAACCAGTTTGCGCCTAATCTCAAATTTAATTAAATATCTCGCTCGTTTCTTGCTTTGTTTTGTTTTTTGGATCGTAAAGCCACTTTTATGGCCCTATCATATGCATATATTATATTTGGTAATAAAAAAAAACAAACGGCACACACATAAAATCGCAAACACGTATGAACGGCGACACCTTTACAAAAACAATAAAACATCATTATCGGAATTATCAATAACAACAGCTTTGACCGCAAAAACCGGATCGGGAGGGCTGCCTACGCATAAAAATTCATTAAGTATATTAAAACAAGCACAAATTAGAAACGTGAGCGAACGATTTGCATTTTAATCGCATAATCTACGAATTTTGACGCATTTTGCCACTGTTTTTAACAAGAAAACAGCAACATTAATATATGTACATATATTAATAAGTCCAACAAATTAAGGCTCAGCGTTTAAAAACCACTTCCAAAGCGCAGATGCCGACCAGAGCTACACACTTTTTTTGTATCTTTGTTTTATTTTTTTTGGGAGGGTGAAAACGTGCAAATCCCATAATTTAAATGTTTCAAAATTTAAAAAGCAAATTTATGTGACAAAAACTGAAAAGAGGGTACAAAAAAACAACTGCCAATAAGCCCAAAATTAGCTAAAGCCGCTCTAAAACAATAATGTCCCAACTTTGTGTAGCCAGTGAATTATTTGTCGCGCTGTCTTAAGTTATGCATAGATTTCTATGAATGAAATTAACAGCGAAACGAGCTGATTTTGATTTTAACTTTTCCACAGTCTAGCTAGAATTTTCAGCTAAAAACTTGTAGCTAAAAACTTAATTAAACTTATTAAGCTGGAAGCGCTTGGCGCCACCGTTTTGGCCGGCCTCCAGCATGGACCGCACGCATGCGTCGTGAATGTCGCCCGCCAGCTTATCGAACCAATTATGCAGGCCCAAAAGGCAGCCGCCGGCGGCGCACAGACAGATTTGTCGCATTTGACGCGATAACAATGCAAGGGAAATGGCCACACCACACCATTCGACTCGATCCCGATTCCATGGCTAACGGCCATAAAAGGTGCGATAAAAACGAAAATTTCACGAGCCACATGCCAGCAAGATGCACAGCAGCCGCTTCTGCGTGGCTGCGTCATCGCTGGAACGGAGGCGACGGTCGGCAAAGACCAAACGCCTTCAAAGCCGTCAAATCGCTGCTCATAATGGATGCCTTATCTGCGAGAATTGTTTTAACTACTACCGGAGTTCGTTTTAGGCCGGCTCGAACGAACATTCGTTCTCTCGGCGCTGATGGAGCACATTAATTTGCTTCAGGCCCGCCAAAGTTGCTCAGACTTGCAAAACCTGTAAAAACGGAAGCTCCGAAGGTTGTGGGGCCTGCACACGCTTCGACCTGCGTGCGTCCAGCCTCGAGTGTTTGCTGCAAAACTATCGATTCGCATTGATCGATAGATGCGATAAGAATCGATAGACCAAGAATTGATTGTAAAAGTTTGCTTTATTCGAAAGCTGTGCTTAAAATTAATTAACAAATTACAACTTATAGACTATATACTGCACACCGTGATCACAACAAAAGCTTCGAAGTGGACGACAACCAGAAAAGCTGCGCTTAATAGGCCAAAATGGCCGAGATGCTGAAACTGTTGCGTTTCGTAGAAGTCGTCGTGGGCGGTGAGCTAGCTGGCGTGCTGGGAGCAGACGATGACGCAGTCGATGTGGATGAAGTGGACACTGCTGGCTCCGCCGGAGCAGCCGCTGCTAAGCTAGCAGGCAGGGAAGCCATCGGAGGCACTGCAGCAAAGTAAGCCGCCTGCAACAAAGCTGCGCCGGGCGCGTAGCCAAGTGCATGACGGTACGGATGGGCTGTGCTCGCGGCGGCCGCATAGTATGCCGGCGACAGACTGCGCTGCGAGTCCTGCTCAAAGTCGGTGCGCTGGCGCTTGGCTTGTGGCGAATCGCAGCTGCTCACGCTGGAGCCATCATCTTCGGAGTCGGCATTCGAGTTGGAGCTGCTGTTCAGCTTGCGCTTGCAGCGCGACTGTCCGGTCTCGCGGAAGCCCTTGGCAAATGGATTGTTGTCAATCTTCAGCTTTGTAATACGATCGTTCTGCAAAACACAAGAAGTAAACAGACTTTTGGTTAGTCGACTGCTGTAATCCGAGCTGCCTGGCGTCAGCAAGTAGCCGTAATCGTAGCCGTAGCCGTAGCCGGCGGCAAGCACTTGAGCATTGTGTGAATAGACCTGGCAATCGTCGACAGTTCACGATCTTTAAATCTGTCTGTCTGTCACAGACGTTCAAGTGGTTTTTGCGCATGCGGGCGACAATTGACCCCCCGCGGCGCATTTATCTATCTGCTAGCCAGCTTCAATGGCATGCTGAAGCTGGGAGGGAGGAGAAGTTACCCACCTGATAGGCAGTTACGGCGACAAACTCCGTTTCCGGAAAGACAAACGCCTGCTGCGGCGCCCAGGGCAGTTGGGTGAGCTCGCTGCTGCGAATGATATGGAGACGTGGCTGGTACTTGTGCATGCTGGCCAGCACAATCTGTAGATGGAGAGATGGATTTCATGAGCAACTGCGGAATGGTGTCAAGGGCAAACAGCACTTACATGTCCGTTGCTGTCGAGTGTGTTGTTCGTCAGCTTGACCTTGTTGAAGAGCAGCGCCTGCGATTGCCAGTGTGCGCCCGTTGCCGGGCTATCCGGATGGAGGTACATGCGCTGCGGACTCTGCGGCTCGGCCCCGCCAGCTGGCACCCACTGCGAGCCGGAGAACTTGTAGCGGCAGTCGCCGATTGGCACCATTTCCAGGAGGACGCAGTAGCTGGCCTCCTCCTCCAGGCCGCTCAGCGAAACGCGCATCGAGGGAAACATGCGTCTGCAAGAGAACCACAAGAATATACGTTGATTAAGTGAGCACACACACAGATACAACAATGGGCACATGCATCCATGTGCACCTATAAATCAAGGTCTCTTTCTAAGCGCAAAAAAGGCGTTGCCCTGGCATTTTGATTTGTGGCCTGGCCTAACAAGTGTGTAATTATGAACAGCGGGGGGATCGGGATGGCGTTGCATCGATTTAAAACGTAACGAAAACAAATCTCAAAATCCAAAAACCTGACTCAAAACAATGCAATGCGAGTTTCTTATGATTAATTGCTGGGAGCGCAGTGCATGGCGCCAAACAATTAGACAAGATCTGTCGGGCATTCAGCTTAACGGCTTCCAAATGTGGCGATACGAGCACTCAATGCAGGGCTAATGAGCCGAGAAAGTGGACACACTGCATCTCCCCCACTCCTCCGCCAGCAACTGGCCAACTCATAATTATGTTAATTTCCAGCGGGCAGTCGCTGCCGCTCGGTAGTCGCTTTCGGGCTCAAAATTCAGCTATCAGAGAATATGCATAAGACACTCGAGGGGCAACAAAGCGGCCCATTGTAGGCGAACGTGTGAAAACGCAGGTAGAGAACGGCGGACGGGCCCTTGCTCAGACAGCTTCTCGGTCTTCTGCAGCATTGTCAAAGCGGCACAATGCGCCGTTGTCGCTGAGCAGAGATTTTTATGAGCGCGCCGGCGCCAGGACGGCGGTTGCGGCCGCACTTGTTGTTGTCCGTGTGCCCGGGCAGCGATTGCGCTCCTGCTGCGTTTTGAATTATCGCTAGGCGCCACATTAGGCCACGGTTTTCGAGAGCCGGGTCATGGCAAATATTGACATAGGCCCCGCCGCTGCCGACCACATTGCACTTGACTTTTCAAGTTGTTGGAATACACGAACTCGCATCGCGTCGCTATTTGCATAGGATTTGTGGCACAGTTCTTGGGAAACTTACCTGCCGCTTTTGGTGATGATCATTTCGGTTCCAATCTGATGGAACTGCTGCCACAATTCGTTGTTCTCCAGTTTGGCCTCCACGCCCGGCAACATCGGCCGGCTGGGCATCATCATTTGCGGCTGCGGCTGAGCCATATGCAGGGGCAGCATGGCCGGAAAGGGATCTGTGGGTAAGAAGTAGATGCTATGAGCCAGTTGCTTAGAAGTTGTTTGGTTAGTTCGTTAGCTAGCTGCTTCGACCTGTTTCGAGCTGGCATGGGCTAACAATTTATTCAGCTGCTAAATTATGAATGAACCGAAATTGCAACTTCTCCAGAGCCCGACCAAGACAGTTTAATTATGTGAGGCAACTCTTTAAGCAATCTTTATGTCTTCTGCTCAATTGATATATTGTCTAGGTGAACAATTTTTAAAAAGCTGTGTAGATCTCAGTCCGGGTGAGGGTTTTCTGCATATCAGACCACAAATTGAAATTGAAATATAACTCGCATTCATATTTACAAGCTATTTATCTAGATCTTTTGTACACTAGGAATTCAAGCCCGAATCCTCATTGCTAAGTAACCCTCATGACTTAGCCAGCTCTTCTAACTAAAGATATCTTTCACCCCAAGCTTTTATATTTTCCACTTTATCTTAAGCTTTGCCGTCGGCACTTGGACACCTCGTCTGGTTATCTAACGCCCACTTACCTGGTATGCGTTGCATGATCTGTTGACGGTACAGCTCATGGGCCAATTGCTGCTGCATGCGCATATCCATTAAATCGTGCATGGACAACATTGTGAAAAGTTCGATTTAAGGAAAGTCTTAAAAATTTGGTACACTTGTATTACACTTCACTTGGTAACTGTTTTTATATTATTTCTGCGCTACGCTCGAGGTTCTGTTACGCACGACGTTTCGCAACCAACTGATCTTGAGCTGAGCGAGCCAGCCGCTTAGCTGCGCGCGCGTCGTAGCCGGTTACAGTTCCAGAGCAGAGCCCTGATCTGCGGCTACCTGCTAAACCAGTTCGCGCGACGGCGCAAGCTGATTGGTCGACGTGCCGAGCCGCCTACGCCGACGACGACGGCGACAGCGACGACGACGTCGACTTCGACTATGGCGCACTCGCTCTGGCGACGATCGTACGCCATTTTGTGTAAAAATGAGAGGGGAGAAGAACAGAGGCAGCAACAGAGTTGGACCGTGCTGGGCAGCTAGTGGCGAAGTTAACGCTTAGCACTGTTGATTTTCATCAGCCGCAGTGTTTTTCTGCGCCACTGACTTTTGCGCTCCCTCTCCCTCCGCCTCTGTCCCGCTCTGGTGCACTGTCAGTCAGACTTCAATGTGGCATACTTTGTAATTCAGAAGTGAGATTTTCCACAGCGCGCCTGTCTGCAACGGCAATGGCAATGGCAACAGACGGCTGGAAAAATGCCCGTTGCTATTTTCATTGCTGTTGCCCCGCGCCTTTGGCTTCCGTCGATTTGATCGAGAGGGTCTGGACTGGGACTGAGACGGGGACTGGATCTGTGTCTTTTGGGCATTCGTCGTTTTTCGTGGCGTGTAATTAGCCACCATTTTTGCTCTTGCTGGCATTGTCTGGCATTTTGTATTTATGTATTTTATGCAGACAGGTGAAACATAAATTTTGTTGGTTTTGTTAATTGCCCGTTTCAGAGTTTCGAAATTCCTCTGCCATATACAGCCAGTTGCTGTTTATTTGCCAGATTGCTGACCATAGTTTCCCATTTTGGGTCTGCTCGGGTTCTCAACTATTGATTAGTGCTTGTCAGCGCTAAAAATTGCTTCTAATCGCAGTTGGCGCAGTACATTTCCCGAAAACCTAATCACAAGGCACAAGTAGGCAACAGGAAGTCAGCATGAATGTGAAAATTATTGACTGTACTATGGATCATAGGTAAACGAAGTCAAATCTTACATACAGGTTAAGGATCTGCGTGTCCAGGTCAAGTTTAATTTGAAGCAAACGAGACAAAGCATCAAATAAAAGAGTATTTCATGGTCTAAGCAGATGCGATTAAGCAGGTTCTTTTTTTTGTTTCTAATACTACTTGAAATATATTCACGGGAAATATTTAGTTCAGTTAATGGGAAAAAAAATAAACTTGACGTTGACATTGAACTTGAAGGCATATTGAAATATAGATATTTTTGTACACCCAAGGCTCCTCTTTTGCAGATCCCCCATTTCAAGGCAGTGACACTTTCTTGGGAATGCCCGAATACAATTTGCACTTCTCTTCAAGCGCTACGGCCAAATCGCATTTCATTACCAAGAAATAATTTCGAGCTTGACTTCATTGCAAACGGACTAGAAAGGATTCCAGCTAAGCGCAGTGCGAATTTAGCTTGGCGCATTCACAAAATTGCCAATTTGGACACATTAGCACATTTAGTCGGCGTAGACGGCATATTTCCGGTGAACCAGTTCCCAAGCCCAAGCCCAAGCCCAATCCCAATCCCAATCCCAGACTGGTGACGTGACGTCGGGCGCCAGTGCATCGTAAAATATTTGTACAAATAGCAGCAAAACTTTATTTGACAAAAAAACAAAAGATGACGAACAAAAGATATGAAATTGTAACGCTTCACGCCTGCCTGAAGCCCAGGCCGACAAAGGGCATGGGCAACAAAAGGGCCAGACAGTAGTCGCTGGATGCTGGATGCTGGACAGCAGCTGGGGTGTTGCAGGCACTTTTATGGCTGATGCTAGTCACAGGTGGAAAGATAACCTAGTTTAGGTCAGGTGTAATTGCGTCACTAAACGGTGCAATGCGGGCAGGATCGCTGACGCGACAGCGGCGCCGCCCACAATGCGAACTGAAGATCCGAGGGTCTATTGCCATGGTGTGAACAGATTCGTGGGCCAGCAACAAAGACGAGTGCGCGGCCAAAGTGCTTGCCAATTGAAGTAATAATTTTGTATTGTTTCTGGTCGCGCGACGCGACGCGACAAGTGGCTGGCCTCGGCCACTCTCAAGCAGCGCTTGGCGCCCGCACAACAGGTCCTGCGCAGTCCTGGACCGCGCCTTTGTGCGACGCTATCTGCCGACTGTGCATCTGTCCCGGGCGGCGCGGCACAGTAGCCAGCAGAGCAGCTCGAAGACATGTGTTTGCCGTTGATAAGAGATTTGATGCAGCTACCGTTAGACAACTGCCAACTGCCAACTGGCAGGTGAGTAGGGACAGGGACTAGGGCCAAGGCAATCAGAAGCTAGGCAACAACCCACATGGGCCGTGAACAGGCCACGTCAAATGGCTGGGCTAATTAAAATATATAAAATAGCTAACGAAATGACTAGCCAAATGCGTTTATTAAAAGACCATCAACATTGTGGTTATTAGGGCCATAATCGATGGGCAGGCAGGTTGCATTTATGCTGCCCCTAAGGGCACAACAAATCAATAAATCATGGATAACCCTAATTAACCCATACACCGAGCTGGGCTCAGACTGTAGATTGTCACCTGCACGGGCAGTTTGCTGGGGAATCAAAAGATACAACAAGTTACACATAATTTATGAAAACATAAAGAAAGATCTACAGAAATGGGCATCATAAAATAATATAAATGATATAAACGACACTGTCTGCGCCTAATAAGCAGCATTGCGAGGCGTTGCCCTGCCCCGAATCCTGAGAAAAACACGCATAAAGATGCAAACTATGCGATAAGTCACCCGTCCCAGTCCCCGTCCCAGTTCCAGCCTTAGTATCTTAGGCGCCTGCAACTAAATGCCAAACGAGTTAACTCGCTGATAGAGATCTTTGGGTAAATACTAAGCTGCGGCCCAAGGTGCGTTGGGCATCATTAGGGCAACGAAAGACAAAAAGAAAAGAAAGACCACGACGATGATTTAATTTTCCAACACGCTTTCTACCACGCTAAAAAACCAAAAACAAAAAAAAAAGAATTTAGCCAAAAAAAAAAAAAATGAAGGGAAAATAAGAAAAAAGCCACACCAGCATGGGTTCGAGGCTCGAGTTTGAATGATCGATGGACTGTCGTTGAGATGATCACTTCTCGTGGCTGCCTAGCGGCTACTAGTTGAGATACTTAACGACGCGGGCTCGACCCAGTCCGGGCACAATAATTTGTTAAGATGTTTGTTTCGATCGCTCGCTCGTCGTTGGATTGATCGCTGCAACCTTTGCCCCTCCGCGCCCGGCCCTGTCTGTGATTCTTTGCATATTTATATTTCTCACGTTGTGAGGCTCCACTTTAGCTGGCTGCCCCTGGCCGAGTCCACAGCGGACGCCTGTCACAAGATCAGTAATCAATAAGTATCTGTTAGGCGCCCACAAGTGCCCAAGCCCAGCTGAGAGAGATGAGCTCTGAGGCTACTGATCGCTGTGATCATCTAGACGTCGCCACCGGGGCGCTGTTATCAGCAGCTCGGCATCTGGACATATTACATTGCTACTTAAGATACATTTTCCCGGCTGCGGTATCGATTGCAAGCGTTTCGCCATATCGATTACAACGAAGCGTCGAGACGCGACGCGCCGCACCGCGACCCGTCGCTGGCGGCGGCTTCTCTTTGCGTTGGCCTAGCGGCAATTGACCCGGGCACAGAAGTCGATCTATGTAATCGATACGAGATCGAGATCTCAATAGCAAGCGCGATCGCGATCTCCGGCAACAAATGGCAATGGCCTCGTCTCTTCCTGCTACAACATTTCGGTCGGCTTTGCAGTCTGTGATCTTTGTGTCAGGGCAGGGTGGCTGCGATTCGCCTGGCTTTGTCATTGATCAACGATTGCCATTGGCCATTTGCTGATCGTTTTGCATGGCAGTCCAGCTCGACCATGAGCCGATCTCAAATGGGGCACTCACTCATTTGGCATGCCGCTCGCAACTCCGTCGCACTAATTAAAATAAATTCTGTCAGACATTCTCGTTTAATTTTTTCGCGCACCTCCATTTGGCTCGTTGCCCATTTCATAACAGCAGCCAGCGAACAAAAAACATGTGAGAACATTCATTTTTATACAACCGAAGAGTAAATACCCTGCAAAAGAAATCACTATTTTTCCAAGTTTTAATATATACTAATTTTATTTATGTTGACTTACGCTATAATATATAAACTCAGCCCCTTTTCCTACAGCTGAGATCAAAGCTATCCCCTTTAGAGTGTTACACACGTTGTGAACTAATTATGTTGCTTTCTGCAAGGGTATAAGCAAAACACACAAACTATCAAAGTCGAAGCGAGAAAACATGCAATAAATACGTCAGGTAATACGTCAAATGCTCCAATGGAGACCGAGACGGTGGCGCAGACGGTGTCCGCTCGCTGGGGACGATTTAAAATGCACATTATTAATTAGTTGTTATAATTGCATTTAAAAATCCATTAATATTTATAGAATTCATAATAAATAATGAGGTGCAGTCGCAGTCGCAGTCGCCGTTGCGTTTCTCCCGGCCCCCAACACGGCGACAGCGAACGCCTCTAAATGTCAAAACAGTCAACGAGGAGCCACATCCACATGGACGGACCTGGCGGCACCAACAGCTCCAAGTTTGGCAATTTATGCGGCCAGCAATTTGGCGAGTTAGGATCGCCCCATGATGTGTGTGTGGCATTTGTATTTGAAACGAGTCGCCACACGAATATGCTGCTAGTTGCCTTTGACAAATAATTTGGAGTGTGTCCCCATGAATTGTATGTGAGAATTCTTCGAGTGGGGCATTCTCGTTATAGCAACTATTTTGAAACGAAGGCGAATGAAAACTACATTCTGAAGAGTTTGTTATTATATTCTATGCAAGCTTTAGTAGCACATTCGCAGATAAAACAAATTTATAAACAACTGGTTCAAGACAAGATTCTTACTCTTATGGCCAGTTGCAGGC